TCTCGATGAGACGGTTCTAATGATCGTATTTCCATCGAAATGTAATCATTAGGTCGAAAGTTATTTCATTTAACAATATATAACATTTGAAGGAATATAATGTGTAAGAATTAGGATTCTGCACCATCTTAGAAATTTTGAAAACCTGTAAAAAATCCTCAATTATGATTGATAATACGTAGTTTAAAATATAATCAATATTTGTATATCCTTGTTATGAGACGCAAATACAGATATGGATCAGACCAAATTAGACTGTCTGTATTCATATCTGAGATTTTTTATGTCTAAGACTTTTTGTCTGCATTAATGCTCACCACATTTCTTGTTAATTCTGAGTGTATAGTATATTAGTATGGTATGATAGGATTCGATAGATAAGGTATAATTGATTATGTATAGGTATAATACTAATCATACTAATATGTTAAATAATCACAACAAAAAATCATTAATATTTTAATCCTTTAGGTACTATTAATCATATTATTGTATGATATAAATCATACTGTTATGTCAAATAATCACAATGGAAAATCGTAAATCCAAATATTATTAATTACAATTTGTAAATAATGATTATATGTATAATGGTATAATAATTTAATCTTTTTACTTCACATTAATATTTTTTCTACTATTTTTTTCATTTAAATTAACCTTTTCTCTTTAATACTTTGCATTATCATTTTATCAATGAAAGTTAATACAACAACTAGTGAACTTGAAATTACATTAGAAGATAGAAAAATGCAACTCAAACAAAATGAAATTGATCTAAAATTAAAAGAATTGCAGCTTAAAGGAATTGAATAATAAAATGAGACCATATTGTTATGCAAAATTATTATTTGCTATTCAGTTTCTTGTTTAAAATTTCTAAAAGCAAACTTACTTGACATTACTCAAGGTGTAACTTACGGCTTTAATAAATACAATTGTAATATACAAAAAAGTTCTAATGATTTAAAACACATTTTTTGCTTAATTTGGTAAATGAAATAAAAATTTTGTTCTATATAAAAAAAAATAAAATAAAATGAATTCATTTCAAATAAAGAAAATATATTTTTTACTTTGATTTACTATATATGAATGTCAAGTATATACTTAAGACCAGTGACATGCACTTGGAAGATTAGAAGCACCTTTGGAAGCACTTTTGGAAGGTTTGGAAGTATAATTTATTAATAAAATTATTTGGATTGAAAGCTTCCAATCAAATTTTTTACCATTGGAAGCATAAAATGCATATCACTGCTTAAGACTATTATTAATATTCTTCAAACAAACATAAATGAATAGGGTTAACGGGTCTGATATAATTTTAAAGTCTGGTACAGGTATGATGTTTTATATATACCTTACCTGCAACTTTAGTTGTATATATTAATACTACTTTACAATATGATTGACAAATGTATTACCATTTAAAGAATACCGGTTAATTCTGGCCAAAAGATATCTAATGTCCCGCAAAAAATCACGTCCGTATACAACATTTCCCCAATTATTGATGCCATTTTTTTCATCCTCGGTATAACGCCTAATAATTTTGGCCAGAATCGAGGCGGAAAATTTCAGCTTCGGGTCAAAAATTTTTTCTCTCAAAGTGATCGTCATAAATCGCGGATCATATAATGTTCAATTTATAGCTCACGTGATCATAAATTTTTGAACGCGTTCGACATACATATATAAGGCACTTTTAAAACGATTTCTTATTCTCAAACAATATCATAAAAATGTCTGAACATATTAACGCGCGTAGTTATGAAGAAACTGAAACTCAAAAATCCAATAAAAAGATGAAAGATAAATAATGGCTCAAGAAACGCAATAACTTGCTATCTTCCTATAGCAAAAATTCAGCTTTTAACCAACCATTTGATTTTCATGTTCTTATAGATTATCTAAAGAAGCAGAAGAACAAATCTTACCGTGGGATTCCTGCTCCGATACCGAAAAATAGTTGTTGATTCGTCGAAGTCCTCAGCTTACTCAATGACTCTTGATCCTGAAGGAAGCACAAAAGCAATTTTATAAATATAGAAAATTAGGTGCGTTTTTTTTTTTATTTGCAAAGGGTGGGCAACTCCTATTCGGGTCTCATCCTGACTAGGAGAATTACTGGGCTTTGATTGCTGGTAACCATCCCAGTTTTCACTGTTTGGGCAGAAGAAATTGGTTATGTTCCTTCCTTTATCCTAAATAAAAAAGTATGCACTGCTAAAAATCATCCTCTCACAACAGGAGAGTTAGAACGCAACGGTTTGGAAACTTATTGGCGAGAAGTTGTGTTGGTGAGTAAACTCATGAATTATATAAATACTTTGTAAAATGTATTCAATAATGCCTAATATTATTTTTAAAAGAAAATCTTTTAGAATATAAAGCTAAAAGAGAACGTCTCCTCCAGACTCTTTCCAACTATAATGACACAATACAAGTAACAGATGCTAAGCTTGCTAAGCTTATGAATAAATGGTATAATAATCATACAGAAAAAGATCTGATGGACAATGATCCTGAATCACAGCATGTTATATGATCATAATGAATTTGATTTAGAGATCCCGATTTCTGATGGTCTTGATGAACAATTTAATACTGAGGAATTTTCACAGGATGCACTAGTTGATACCAATGGCAAAAATCAGGAATACCACATGATAATAACAATCGTCATGATTACGATGATAGCAATGATATTAATGGTAATGATATCTGTCCACGCCGTCACCGTCGTCGAGGTTGTATTCGTGATTATAGCTATCATCCTCGTGCAAATCGAACAATTCGAAATCATGACTACAATCACGAGCTCAATAACAGCTATGATGATGAATGTACTGCCTGATGTTGATAATAGTGCTATACAGAATTCAGGTAACCTGAACCCAATAACCATCATGAAGATATGGACAATAAAAGAGGTGAAATTATCTTTTAAACTGATTTAGTAATCACTTTTCAAGATTTGTATAAATAGCATTAAATTCATTATTTTTATTCATTATCAAATTATCTTTAGGAATTGATCGCGGAATCAGTGAATACCGAAGATATGGATATTAGTGATGACAATCAATTAACTCCAAGCTTAGCTCTTACTCGTAAATCGAAGGTATATTACAAGAATTAGAGAGCGAAAGTGAAGAACATGATGATGGGCTAATTCCTGTCGAAATTGTACAATCTTCGGAAAACTTAGCACGATTATATCAAAAGCCAATCGTGCTGAAAAGTATGCAAGACATGGTAATCAAAAGGAGATTTTATCTTGGTTTAATTATGGAGAAAAGTTTGAAAACAGAGTCCATGAAATTGTAAGCAATGATCAAATCAATGAAAAAACAGCAAGAAGTAAAGTTTATAAGGAAGTTGAACAGCATCTTCCTGGAATAACACGGGTTAAATTACGTCAGAAAACAAAAAAAGCCCGATATACTTATATTTTATTTGGAGCAATAGGAGTAGATAAGATTAGGCGAATAAGATCATATGGGGTGAGTGTTGCAAAAAGGGACCAAATTGTAAAAAACTTTTTTTAAAATAATTAAAGTTCTGGATTGAACAATAAAAGTTACATTTATTTTACTTGGGAATAAATTTTAAAAAATTTTCAATTTGGTCTCTTTTTGCACCCATATAGTGCAAATTCTATCTTATGACTCAACAAGACTCAAATTCAAAAGATTATTTTACAGCTAATTTCATAATTCATAGACCATTAATAATTTTTCAGTCACATTCAGTCACAATTTATTAGTGGTCCACAAATTATGAAATTAGCTGTAAGCTAATAAGTAGATTATACTTTATTGCAGTGTTGTCATGGGATATTTTTTGGACATGGCCTGGGATATTGGGATTTAATGTGGGACATTTTGTGACATAGTGTGGGACAGTCTCAAAATGTTTGGGACATCGAAAATGTACATCACTGCTTTATTGTATCTAATTATGTATTTAAGTTTTTCACAGTTGTTAATATAAAGGAAATGTAATATATATTTGATGCATAAATGCTAATTGGTATGATTATTTAATCAAAATTTTTCTTTGCATTTTCGCAAATCATGTGATCTTTTAATATACAAACGGTTTTGAACAGTGCATTAAAGTTTTAAGTTTACTCAATAAGACCCAATTCTTGAAGATGCTTTAGAATAATAGTATATGGGTTTTCATAATACCAAACATAAAGAATTTGATATATTATTTATATTATACATTTTGTACTTCGATTGTAAAGCCATATTTTGAGTAATAAATATCAAGTTCTAATCTTGTTAGGCATTCTGATAGTATTCTACATGGATTAGATCAAATTAGATTTAGGTAAAATCTGATTTAATCTAAATCTGAAAAATCCAAAATTCAAATCCAGATTCGATTTAAATTTGACAAATCAAATTTGTATCTGAATTAGAGCTCCTATGAATCGAATTAACTCACAAATCATATAAGTTGACTTGAGTTTGAGTCGAGTCGAGTCAAAATTTTTCTGACTCATTTGACTCAAGTCGAGTCATTAGTCGAGTCGAATCAATAAATTGACTCAACTCAAGTTGACTCAAGTTGATTCACGTGAATTGATGTTACTTGAATTATCATTTTGGAAACTTTATGTAATTCATTTTTGATGATTTCCAATTTTTCGATAGCCAAAATTTCCTTTTTAGGAATTTGTATAACCATATATTTGGAATCTTGTGTAACTCAATTTGATACAATCCCGGAATTCGAAAATATACTGGTTACGAAGCTTTAATTGAATATTTTTAATATGTTTTCTTGAATATCTTAACGTCTAGTGATCCGTTAAAAAAAACTCTCTCCTTCATTATGCCTATTACTAAACAAAATACAAAAATCTCAAAAAATTTACAAATGACCCAATCTTATCCAACAAACTTAATAATAAACGACAATAAAAACATAGAACAAACAGCCCTCACTCTACAAAAAAATAAATCAAATATCGTAGACGTTTCAGCTATAAATAAAAGAACAAAAATCTCTAACGAAGTTCCTCCTTTGACGATCGAAAATATCATAGACTCTATTATATTTACACCTTCTTCTAAAGTTGACATAAGTTCTTTTGAACATTGAATCTCACCTTTTCCACAACAAATAGAAGATACAAATACATCTACCATAGAAATTGATCCAACAACCTTCACCAAAACCCAAAATAATACAACCAATGACTCAATGCATGCTAATCAAAAATCATCTACTTCATCGTAACAAAATAACAATATCACTCCATATAATAACAAAGGAAAGTAAAAAGAAATGTGGTCAGACGAAGATATTTACGAACAAACATTTGAAACCGAAAAATATAATAATGAAAATGCGAAAGCGAACAAATTTACAATTATTATGTCACCAATGCGCTTTTACGCGTCTACTGATTTCAAAGACATGAATGGTTCAACTATTGTTGAGAAATGTTACACCATCAACAAATTGTTCAGCTACTTCAATGATTACAAGGGGTCATACTATAATATGAAACAAAGAAAATTTTATATTTACTTTCAGTCTTTTGACTCCTTAACACATGTAACTGAAAAAGTCAAAGAATCACAACACAATCCAATATTTTTAGTAATTGATCCAAATGTCAAACAACAACATAAGGATGATGAAAAAAGATGTTGCATAAAAGTTAATGACATATCACTTTTTATAAAATCTGACATTATCAGAAATTGCTTTGACAAATTTGGAAAGATCTGCAGATTTTCTATGATTACAAGGGACCTATGGCAAATAGCATTTATTGTTTATGATTTCGCAGAAGCAATTAAAGAATTTTATAATAACAAATGGTCCACATCCTTATTAGAGTTCCTAGTTAGAGTTGAACCAACTGATCTCAACAAATTACAAATTACTTTAAGACAACAATTTGAACTGAAACTCACAGAGCTTCCTTTCAATACATCTCATTTAGACCTGGCCAATTTTTTGGTTCACATAAACGCTAAATCATGCTTCATCCCTAGAAATCGACAATATCGATTACATCAATACGCTTACATCAATTTTGATAACGAAGATAACGAAGATATCACCTTTAACTCACAATAAAAGTTCAAAAACTGTATATTATATTAGGCACCAGGAGTATATCATTGCATCCAATGTGGATCACCTGATCACGAAACAAATAACTGTAACGCACGCTCAAACCTAAATCCATTCAAACCCTTATATAATCATTTCAGACCTGCACAGTACTGACTTAAATTTAATCCATCCGACTCCCTATTTCAAGTTCAGACTCAAATGGAAATCGTTCTTTCAAACCTTCATATTCAGATACCATCTATAATAATAACAGCCAATTCACAACCAAAAATAGTCCTATTCAAAATCACTCTTCTAAAATTAATCCAACGTTACCAGACCAAACCAGTCTTAATCAAATTATAAATAACCTTTCTAAGCTGAAACAAAAATTCAAAACTTTATCTGACAACCTCATTGCTACAAAAAATATAAGCAAAGAACTACAACAAGTCAATTAAATCTCTTCATGCGAGTGAAAAACATCAAACAAATTTGTCATATTTTCCCACCGGATCAACAAATAAAACCCAAACAATCCATTCAATTCATGGATTTAGATAAATCTGAATCAAATAAGAAATCACAACCTATCCTATCCATTCATTCCCATTCAAATGAAAAACTGTTTTTGTCACATGACAATATTATCGAATTACTAGAACAAAAAATTACTTCGCTTCAAGAAAACTTCAACAGTGCAAAAGAAGATTTGACTCAAATCAAGACCGCTATGATGCAATTCTTTCAAACGAATTCATCCAGTTCAACATGAATACTATACAACAAACAGATATTTCTCTTTTTCACAGGCTATGTGATCAAGATAATAATTTTAAAATAGCCACACATAATGTTTGAAACTGCATAGCAAATGAAAAACGCAATCAAATAGAACAATTCTTTACTGAAAATAATTTAGATATGCTGGGTTTGTCTGAAACACATCTTACACTATAACATTCATATTCAATAACGCAAAAATTTAAATCTCCTAACCTTCTGTATAAATACATCTTATTAAATGAAAATCGTCACCAGAATTGTCAAGGGGTCAGTTTTTTGGTCAGTTTTTTTATAGAAAAACATATCTTCAACTATCAAGGATTTTATGATAAAATCATTTTCATTGATCTACAAATGAAAAATAAACAAAAACTTAGAATCATTCAAATTTATCTTCCTGCTAATACAAAAACTACTAAAGACCATCTGAATAGAGTTAAAATACAAAATAAACTATTAGATATAATATTGAAAGCCAAATCAAAGGGATATTACCATGTTCTTATGGGTGACTTTAATATCGACATTAAAAAAAATTATTCTACAACCCGGAAAATGGATATAAAAATTATATTACACAACTAGAAAATTTAGGAATGATTAATAATCTAAGTTTATTTTATCCAATCTACCACACGACTTATTTCTCACATAATTCTTCTTTATCTCTTGATTACATCTTCTCTTCGACATCCCTTACATACAATTTCATCTTATCCACATCCCTTAATAGTTATTTTTATAACTCTAGTTCTGATCACACTCCATTAATTTCTTTTTTTACAAAAATAATCTTTTCGCACAGAAATCTAACGCATCACTAAAAAAAAGGAAAATTATCTAAAACAAAATTCTTATATAAGCAAACTACAAAGAAAAAATGGAAAAGGTTCTCTTTAAAATTAAACAATCTTCTCGATCATGAGAAAGATTTATGTTTATTCACTAATGATTCTCTTCCAAAAAATATTTTCACTTTAAACCAAGTATGGTCCATATTCAGCACTATCATCATTAATGCTGCTAAATCCACACTTTCCAAACAAACAACCACCAATCAACGTTCTACCGATTTTATATATAATCATAATCATTCATACACCATTTTAAACAAACTTAACAAATTTTATCATACATGTTACAAACAATTTAATTTACAGCTCAATTTCAATATTATAGACTATAACAAGTTTAGATACATTGTTAACAACTTAATCGACCTAAAGATCCCTACTCTTAACATACAAAATGCATTTGACAATAAATCAT